TTCTCTTGTCACTTTTTGTGTAATCCCGGTGTTCACACCCACTTATCCTGTCACTTTATGTGTAATACCGGTGTTCACACCCGCTTATCCTGTCTCTTTTTGTGTAATACCGGTGTTCACACCCGCTTATATGATCATCATTGCTAGTTGTTGACATTTTTGCAATACCTGTATTTACGCCCACTTCTCTTGTCTCTTTTTGTGTAATACCGGTGTTCACACCCACTTCTCTGGTCACTTTTTGTGTAATACCGGTGTTCACACCACTTCTATTGTCACTTTTTGTGTAATACCGGTGTTTACACCCACTTATCCTGTCTTATCCTGTCACTTTTTGTGTAATACCTGTGTTCACACCCACTTATCCTGTCACTTTTTGAGTAATACCGGTGTTCACACCCACTTCTCTTGTAACTTTTTTTGGGTAATACCGGTGTTCACACCCACTTTTCCTGTCGCTTTTTGTGTAAAACCGGTGTTCACACCCACTTCTCTTGTAACTTTTTTTGGGTAATACCGGTGTTCACACCCACTTATCCTGTCTCTTTTGTGTAATACCGGTGTTCACACCCACTTCTCTTGTCACTTTTTGTGTCAGACCGGTGTTCACACCCACTTATCCTGTCACTTTTTATGTAATACAGGTGTTTACACCCACTTATCCTGTCACTTTTTGTGTAATTCCGGTGTTCACACCCCTTCTCTTGTCACTTTTTGTGTAATTCCGGTGTTCACACCCACTTCTCTTGTAACTTTTTTTGTGTAATACCGGTGTTCACACCCACTTATATTGTCACTTTTTGTGTAATACCGGTGTTCACGCCCACTTCTCTTGTCACTTTTTGTGTAATTCCGGTGTTCACACCCACTTCTCTTGTAACTTTTTTTGTGTAATACCGGTGTTCACTTCTCTTGTCACTTTCTGTGTAATACCGGTGTTCACACCCACTTATCCTTTTGTGTAATACCGGTGTTCACACCCACTTCTCACACCCACTTCTCTTGTCACTTTTTTGTGTAATACCGCCCCCCACACCCACTTATCCTGTCACTTTTTGTGTATATTTACGCCCACTTCTCTTGTCACTTTTTGTGAAATACCGGTGTTCACACCCACTTCTCTTGTCACTTTTTTGTGTAATACCGCCCCCCACACCCACTTATCCTGTCACTTTTTGTGTACTACCGGTGTTCACACCCGCTTATCCTGTCACTTTTTGTGTAATACCTGTGTTTACACCCACTTATCGTGTCACTTTTTGTGTAATACCTGTGTTCACACCCACTCATCCTGTCACTTTTTGTGTAATACCGGTGTTCACACCCACTTTTCCTGTCACTTTTTGTGTAAAACCGGTGTTCACACCCACTTCTCTTGTAACTTTTTTTGTGTAATACCGGTGTTCACACCCACTTATCCTGTCACTTTTTGTGTAATACCGGTGTTCACACCCACTTCTCTTGTCACTTTTTGTGTAATACCGGTGTTCACACCCACTTCTCTTGTCACTTTTTGTGTAATACCGGTGTTCACACCCACTTCTCTTGTCACTTTTTGTGTAATACCGGTGTTCACACCCACTTCTCTTGTCACTTTTTGTGTAATACCGGTGTTCACACCCACTTCTCTTGTCACTTTTTGTGTAATACCGGTGTTCACACCCACTTCTCTTGTCACTTTTTGTGTAATACCGGTGTTCACACCCACTTCTCTTGTCACTTTTTGTGTAATACCGGTGTTCACACCCACTTCTCTTGTCACTTTTTGTGTAATACCGGTGTTCACACCCACTTCTCTTGTCACTTTTTGTGTAATACCGGTGTTCACACCCACTTCTCTTGTCACTTTTTGTGTAATACCGGTGTTCACACCCACTTCTCTTGTCACTTTTTGTGTAATACCGGTGTTCACACCCACTTCTCTTGTCACTTTTTGTGTAATACCGGTGTTCACACCCACTTCTCTTGTCACTTTTTGTGTAATACCGGTGTTCACACCCACTTCTCTTGTCACTTTTTGTGTAATACCGGTGTTCACACCCACTTCTCTTGTCACTTTTTGTGTAATACCGGTGTTCACACCCACTTCTCTTGTCACTTTTTGTGTAATACCGGTGTTCACACCCACTTCTCTTGTCATTTTTGGAACCTCCTGTTGTCTGTTCTGAACACTTAACTTTAGAGTCAGTTCACCTACATGTTTGGCCATATCACTCAGTGCCTTAGATATGTGTTGAACATCTTCACGCAGACTGATGTTTTGTTGTATAATTTCACTTTCTAAATGATGACCGAGCTTTAATAACTCCCCATCAACACCTTGGCCCACTGAAGTTTCACTGATAGTCTGTGTGGATGTCTCATTCTGTCAACGCTCAACTGCCTGAACTGGTAGGGGAGGCTGTTTAAATTATCTGACCTCAAGTACATGTTTCAAATGTGTCTCATTAATATCACCACTTTCTTCCTCGTGTAAACTACTGTTCTGAAAGATAACTTATTCGTCACTTTCACTGTCAACATACTCATCACGTTCGAGACTGCGAGCACCCGTCAATGTCGTAAGAGTTACCTCCCTTCCAACACTGTTCAATGTTTTCAACAGCAGACTTTAGACATGTGTCACATTACCCTGTACCATACATGCGTTCCCAGTGTAATATAGTGATAAGTATAGCAGCTTTTTATCCCCGCACTTGATTTGAGTTATTGATTTAAAAAGGTTGGGATCGATGACTGGGTTGAATGCCCTATTCTCGTCACGAATGGTTAGGACTTGAAGGTTCACATCGTAATCACTCCAGTTAACATCCAAATTGTCAAAAGCACCTAGAATATTATAGTATCTTATAAGGAGTAGTCTCCTCCAGAAAAGGAAACTGTCAGAGTTGGTATCGAAAGAAAGTTGTTTTGGGTCAATTTTAACGTCGACAACGTGGTTAGTCATCGGTGGCTGGCTTTCTTTTCTGGGCTTTGAATTACTCATCTTACCCAGTTTATATGGAATGTTTATCGTTTTGGTGTGGAATTTGCACACATGTTACCAATCATATAGCATTAGGTTTAGCTTAAAGTCCCACTTACATGTTGTTTAGTTCAGCAGTTTTCTTTTTCCACCATCTTGCATGAATTGCTTTCAGGTGCGTTCCATACATACATACATACATACATACATGCACGCACGCACGCACGCACGCACGCACGCACGTACACATACATACATACATACACACATACATGCATACATACATACATCCATACATACATGCACGCACGCACGCATGCACATACATACACACATACATGCACGCACATACATACATACACGCATGCATATGTACATACTTGCATGCGTGCATACATACACATAAACATATATACATACATACATACATACATACATACATACATACATACATACATACATACATACATAACATTCAAAATCTGTTTGTTGATTCTATATTTCTCTGAACAAAAACACAAATAGCAGAATTAAGATCTTCACTAAGGAAACTACTTCCTGAAGTAAATATATTAATATTTAACCATAGATGTTCATAAATGTTTAGGTCCAAGTTTAAGTGTAAATTTATATGTGTGTCAAGCTGTAAATGTGACAGAGATATAAACATATTTTGTCTTTGAGTCATATATCTAGGGTCATGCAGAAAGAAGTGACCCACATCTTCATTATTGTAACCACATACATGTATACAGGAGAGATTATTAGTAAGATGGTCTCTAAAGAGATCAGAGTTCAACTGACTTGCACGATTTCGAAGTTGACATAATATTTTGTTAAAAGATCTAGTCCCTTCATATTTAAAAATCTTAGTACATATATCTTCATTATTTTGGGGTATGGCATGATGAACAAGCTGTTTTTGAGTTTACAAATAGATCTCAGATTATAATAGTTACATTCAGGTATATTCCACCAAGACATTATGCTGGGGAAAAAACCTGTTAAAATTTGCATTAGATCTACAAATTGGTGGTTCAAATATACGTTAATGTCGGACATGATTGGTCATAGCTTCATTGCTGACTCTCATGGTGTAATCACAATTCTATCTATACATAATTTGTTCTCAGACATCAATTAAAAGGCTCTATCCAAAAGTCTATCATTATTTTTATATTATTTATCGCAAATCACAAGTCCCCAATGGTACCAACGAGAGGACTGTAGGTATGCACTCCGTCCATTAGTTCCTCCGTCGTCCGTCCATCCTTCAGTGCGTGTTCGGAACTTATACATGTATTGTCAATAACCATGTATGCTGTATGTGAAAGTCTGCAAGATGGCAAAGTGTCTCAAACTGAAATCAGACTCCATGGATATCCAGAGTTATGGCCCTTTTTACACGGTTTGCCACTTTGTCAGGGCCAATTTTCATTTAAAATCTAAACTCCGATCGCCAAATAATGTATGTGTGTACCTCCTGGGACGGTAGAATGTCGCGACTCAAATCGGATACCTTGTCCCAACATAACACAGAGTAAGACATTTGTTCATGTTTTATAGAGACGTTTGTCCGGAGTTGGGGATTTTGGATTGCTCTACGTTTGGCTGTTCTAGAGCAAACAAAGATAATTGATAAAAGGATTACATTTAGTGTATTTTGAAGCGTGGGTCCGTTGAAGTAACTTAATTGCGGTATTACAGTGAGATAGCACTATAAAGTCGGCATCAGATCCGCGCTATCACAAAGAGGCAAGCACACTAACACGTACACGTTTACTTACACAAAACACATGAAGATACTTTCTTAAATGGCCATAGCTGTTGATAAGACGTTAAACAAAATAAAACCAAATCTTTGTTGCGGGACAGAATGACATAATTTTTCTACAAAGTATGGCCAGCAGGAGATTTATATCATGTTATGATAATGAGTGACATATTGAAGTTGACATTGGCTAGGAAGCAATGATGGCTATCTTTATAAATAGCGTGTACTCTTATTCCGAAGAATAATCGTAACCTCACTTACCTGAAAAATGAATCTCGTGTCTGTCAAAAATTTGGAATGAGGCTTGAACAACAATGTACAGCACGCATGACGTCAGCGTCGCGGTGACGGCTAACTTGAGGCGACGTTTGCGTCTGACAATGGACCCCATATCGTCATCACGAGAAGACGGGTCTGTGGGATGGAATTTGTAGGGAAGAAAACATGCCATCAGTACGCAACGATTATGAAGTACATATATGGAACTCTCATAGTTATGAAGTAAACAACCTGAAAAACGTGAAAAACGTGACAATTTAATAAACTGAAAATACACATTTAATATGTTACATTCATAATTTTGTGACGTGATGACCTCACAAACAGTCTGACTTTATCATGTTTGCCACGACAAGCATTCTCGTCAGTCAACGATGACGTACGTTAACTTGCACATGAGAGTCCGAATAGGAGGAGAAGGGAAAATACCAATCCGGAGCCGTCGGCACTTTCCGTAAACGAGTATTTTCTCGTACACGGAAAATGCCGACGGTTCCCGATTGTGAAAACACCAGTCAAATTTGCTGAAGTTTTGTTTCGAACAGTAAAATGACGAATTGCAAAAAAAAAAAACACCCAAAAAACCCGCCGAAAATACGGGAAAAATCAATAATAATTAAATGTCCAGTATAGGATACAAAAGAATGTAAGCCTGTTTTCTCAGCTCACGACTTTTAAATGAAATTGTCAATTTCCTACAAGAGCTGTGGGCTATGAGCTGACGAAAATAATTTCTAATTGTGTAGTTTGGTCAAAGGATGGACTTGTTTACTTTTTTGAACAAGGGGGTTATTAGAAACATTGTTTTCGCGGCAAGACTTTGTTTTACATTAAAAATGAGTTTCATTTTCGAACGTTTTACAATTTTTTTATCGACGAAGTTGCCGCGTAATGTTTGTATTACTATTACCATCTAAACTATTCATATCAAAATAAGCTTCAAATTTTGTATGGATTGAAAAAAATCTACAAGGTTTCTTAGTGACGATTTTTTCCCGTTTATATCATGTTGTATACTAGATTACTTCTTTGATACTTTGTTTGTGCACCTTACAGGGTCAGATATATCTGAACATCTACCTCGCCATCTCATCTTTACCTTCGTAAACGGAAACGTAAGTACAACAACACATTTTCATTTTGCGGAGTTAATCTGTATTGTGTGAACGGATTTAAGAGGAAAACTGTCATTGCTAGAGTGTAAACTAAATATTAGTTTTCCAATTATCAATATAAGTAAAAGTTTGACAAAGCCACATTAAGTCTAGCTCTAGTCCGAAAGTCGGGGACTTACAATAATCTAACATAACTGATTTCACTTAGGCCCCCTTTTTATTACTGTAAACACAATCTCTCTGACTCTTTTGGATAACATATTTTCTCTACACACCTTGCTACAAATTTTTGTGTTGTCTCCGTCGATAGAATAACGAGCCATCGCTATATAACGAACTATCTCGGGAGTAGCGGGGTAAATAACGAACTATCCCGGGAGTAGCGGGGTAAATAACGAACAATCCCGGGAGTAGCGGGGTAAATAATGAACTATCCCGGGAGTACCGGGGTTAATAACGAACTATCTCGGGAGTAGCGGGGTAAATAACGAACTATCCCGGGAGTAGCGGGGTAAATAACGAACTATCCCGGGAGTAGCGGGGTTAATAACGAACTATCCCGGGAGTAGCGGGGTAAATAACGAACTATCCCGGGAGTAGCAGGGTAAATAACGAACTATCCCGGGAATAGCGGGGTAAATAACGAACTATCCCGGGAGTAGCGGGGTAAATAACGAACTATCCCGGGAATAGCAGGGTAAATAACGAACTATCCCGGAAGTACCGGGGTAAATAACGAACTATCCCGGGAGTAGCGGGGAAAATAACGAACTATCCCGGGAGTAGCGGGGTAAATAACGAACTATCCCGGGAGTAGCGGGGTAAATAACGAACTATCCCGGGAGTAGCGGGGTAAATAACGAACTATCCCGGGAGTAGCGGGGTAAATAACGAACTATCCCGGGAGTAGCGGGGTAAATAACGAACTATCCCGGGAGTAGCGGGGTAAATAACGAACTATCCCGGGAGTAGCGGGGTAAATAACGAACTATCCCGGGAGTAGCGGGGTAAATAACGAACTATCCCGGGAGTAGCGGGGTAAATAACGAACTATCCCGGGAGTAGCGGGGTAAATAACGAACTATCCCGGGAGTAGCGGGGTAAATAACGAACTATCCCGGGAGTAGCGGGGTAAATAACGAACTATCCCGGGAGTAGCGGGGTAAATAACGAACTATCCCGGGAGTAGCGGGGTAAATAACGAACTATCCCGGGAGTAGCGGGGTAAATAACGAACTATCCCGGGAGTAGCGGGGTAAATAACGAACTATCCCGGGAGTAGCGGGGTAAATAACGAACTATCCCGGGAGTAGCGGGGTAAATAACGAACTATCCCGGGAGTAGCGGGGTAAATAACGAACTATCCCGGGAGTAGCGGGGTAAATAACGAACTATCCCGGGAGTAGCGGGGTAAATAACGAACTATCCCGGGAGTAGCGGGGTAAATAACGAACTATCCCGGGAGTAGCGGGGTAAATAACGAACTATCCCGGGAGTAGCGGGGTAAATAACGAACTATCCCGGGAGTAGCGGGGTAAATAACGAACTATCCCGGGAGTAGCGGGGTAAATAACGAACTATCCCGGGAGTAGCGGGGTAAATAACGAACTATCCCGGGAGTAGCGGGGTAAATAACGAACTATCCCGGGAGTAGCGGGGTAAATAACGAACTATCCCGGGAGTAGCGGGGTAAATAACGAACTATCCCGGGAGTAGCGGGGTAAATAACGAACTATCCCGGGAGTAGCGGGGTAAATAACGAACTATCCCGGGAGTAGCGGGGTAAATAACGAACTATCCCGGGAGTAGCGGGGTAAATAACGAACTATCCCGGGAGTAGCGGGGTAAATAACGAACTATCCCGGGAGTAGCGGGGTAAATAACGAACTATCCCGGGAGTAGCGGGGTAAATAACGAACTATCCCGGGAGTAGCGGGGTAAATAACGAACTATCCCGGGAGTAGCGGGGTAAATAACGAACTATCCCGGGAGTAGCGGGGTAAATAACGAACTATCCCGGGAGTAGCGGGGTAAATAACGAACTATCCCGGGAGTAGCGGGGTAAATAACGAACTATCCCGGGAGTAGCGGGGTAAATAACGAACTATCCCGGGAGTAGCGGGGTAAATAACGAACTATCCCGGGAGTAGCGGGGTAAATAACGAACTATCCCGGGAGTAGCGGGGTAAATAACGAACTATCCCGGGAGTAGCGGGGTAAATAACGAACTATCCCGGGAGTAGCGGGGTAAATAACGAACTATCCCGGGAGTAGCGGGGTAAATAACGAACTATCCCGGGAGTAGCGGGGTAAATAACGAACTATCCCGGGAGTAGCGGGGTAAATAACGAACTATCCCGGGAGTAGCGGGGTAAATAACGAACTATCCCGGGAGTAGCGGGGTAAATAACGAACTATCCCGGGAGTAGCGGGGTAAATAACGAACTATCCCGGGAGTAGCGGGGTAAATAACGAACTATCCCGGGAGTAGCGGGGTAAATAACGAACTATCCCGGGAGTAGCGGGGTAAATAACGAACTATCCCGGGAGTAGCGGGGTAAATAACGAACTATCCCGGGAGTAGCGGGGTAAATAACGAACTATCCCGGGAGTAGCGGGGTAAATAACGAACTATCCCGGGAGTAGCGGGGTAAATAACGAACTATCCCGGGAGTAGCGGGGTAAATAACGAACTATCCCGGGAGTAGCGGGGTAAATAACGAACTATCCCGGGAGTAGCGGGGTAAATAACGAACTATCCCGGGAGTAGCGGGGTAAATAACGAACTATCCCGGGAGTAGCGGGGTAAATAACGAACTATCCCGGGAGTAGCGGGGTAAATAACGAACTATCCCGGGAGTAGCGGGGTAAATAACGAACTATCCCGGGAGTAGCGGGGTAAATAACGAACTATCCCGGGAGTAGCGGGGTAAATAACGAACTATCCCGGGAGTAGCGGGGTAAATAACGAACTATCCCGGGAGTAGCGGGGTAAATAACGAACTATCCCGGGAGTAGCGGGGTAAATAACGAACTATCCCGGGAGTAGCGGGGTAAATAACGAACTATCCCGGGAGTAGCGGGGTAAATAACGAACTATCCCGGGAGTAGCGGGGTAAATAACGAACTATCCCGGGAGTAGCGGGGTAAATAACGAACTATCCCGGGAGTAGCGGGGTAAATAACGAACTATCCCGGGAGTAGCGGGGTAAATAACGAACTATCCCGGGAGTAGCGGGGTAAATAACGAACTATCCCGGGAGTAGCGGGGTAAATAACGAACTATCCCGGGAGTAGCGGGGTAAATAACGAGCTATCCCGGGAGAAGCGGGGTAAATAACGAATTATCCCGGGAGTAGCGGGGTAAATAACGAACTATCCCGGAAGTACCGGGGTAAATAACGAACTATCCGGGGAGTAGCGGGGTAAATAACGAACTATCCCGGGAGTGGCGGGGTAAATAACGAATTATACCGGGAGTAGCGGGGTATATAACGAACTATCCCGGGACTAGCGGGGTAAATAACGATCTATCCCGAGAGAAGCGGGGAAAATAACGAACTATCCCGAGAGAAGCGGGGTAAATGACGAACTATCCCGGAAGTAGAGGGGTAAATAAAGAACTATCCCGGAAGTAGAGGGGTAAATAAAGAACTATCCCGGAAGTACTGGGGTAAATAACGAACTACCCCGGAAGTACCGGGGTTAATAACGAACTATCCCGAGAGAAGCGGGGTAAATAACGAACGATCCCGGGAGTAGCGGGGTAGATAACGAACTATCCCGGGAATAGCGGGGTAAATAACGAACTATCCCGAGAGAAGCGGGGTAAATAACGAACTATCCCGGAAGTAGCGGGGTAAATAACGAACTATCCCGGGAGTAGCGGGGTAAATAACGAACTATCCCGGGAATAGCGGGGTAAATAACGAACTATCCAGGGAATTGCGGGGTAAATAACGAGCTATCCCGGGAGTAGCGGGATAAATAACGAACTATCCCGGGAGTAGTGGGGTAAATAACGAGCTATCCCGGGAGTAGCGGGGTAAATAAATTAAATTAAGTGATCACTCGTCTTGTTGTTTACTCTTAACAATAGTAGATAGAAGATTAGTCCCGTGTCGTTTTTAGTTCGTTTCAGTAATAATTGAAAAAGGCAATCTGTTAAAACGCTTATTTCGTATAATATGTAAACGTTTTATAAACTGCCAATCGATTTTTTATTATTATTTTAAAAGCGCAAATCTAAATAAAATGTAAGCTTATTATGAACTATCAAATGACACAACGTAAAGATATTAGAAAGTGCAGTATACACTGTAAAATAAAGTAACCAGGTGAAAAAATTATACAAATGAAAAGGAAATAAGGGGAAAATATGACAACCTACCTCACATGTATAGTAATCCAATCCAACTGAACGTAATCCCGAAGATCCTTTGTGTATAGAGATGAGTCCTGTCAGCACATTATAATGTATGTCCCTATTTGTGTAGTACAGCCTACATTTATATACTGTTAGCTCCGAGATTGATCGTTCCCCACTAGGTTCAATGTTCCTTAGCTTAACGATACACCAAGAGAAAAAAAAATCATTTTACAAAACACAATTGCGATTGTCATTATTGTATCTTGCTTTTCCCCCAAATGATGATTATTGTCAATCCAAGATCGTAAATGTATACTTTTGAATTTTTAATTATTCAGCTAATATTAGTTTATTTAAATTTGTCCTAAGTTGACAATGGGATCGCACAATTTCGTGATGGCTGTTTGTATCGCCGACAGAAAGTTAGGGAAACTTAAGACGGAAAAAAGATGACACACACAGAAAGATTAAAACAGACAATAGATCATCGATTAAAACGAACCAGCTGTCTCAAAATCCACAATCATCGGTCTATATAGTATATATTGTATAGAACATGTGCGACTGGCTTTGGAAAGGAGCTCTTATAATTGATCAAATCAAATACGCTTTGTTATTTTAAGGAGCTGCGGGAAAACAATGGGAATAAACAGAAAGAGAAATCGATATGAAACCTATAAACAAACTTGAATACTTCAATCCCCCGGTTGCTCCTTAACGATTTCACTTTCCTGATGTGACTACAGCTTTGATAGTTCTGTGAAAATAAACCATACCCAGGTGAACTCTTACGAAAATTTAAAGATACTGATGCATTCGAACCTCGTATCTCCAATTATTAGACCGTCTCTCTAACTAGTTCTTGCGCTACAGTAGTAGCCAAATCGAAACTAATGGGAGGTAACTGTAAGTTTGAAAAACTTCATTGGAACTCTCTAGTGTTTTGCGTGCAGTAGGACATGTATCCTTAATGGTCTGCACTTTGGGGTGTTTTAATTATCATAAGCCAATGATACTGCATTGGAATATAAAGTGACGTGGTGATATTCAAGTATTTAGGGCCATTAAGTGCACAGGTGTCACAGGTGTCATACAGTGAAACAGGTGTCATACAGGTAAGGATAATTCCATTACATCAATGAATTGATTGCTTGATTGTTGTATTCCTTGTGTAACACATGGTTCATTCAATGAAACGAAAAAATACAATATTAAAAAGGCTACTATAGCAATGTATGACGTTATAAAGAAAGGTAGACTACATAATTTATCAGTTCATTGTATATATGATTTATTTAACAAGATTGTAAAACCCATACTGTTGTATGGTTGTGAAGTTTGGGGTCTTTCTGACCTTAAGGTAATTGAACGTGTACATTTAAAGTTCTGTAAATTATTACTAGGGTTAAAAAGTAGCACCCCTAATTATATGGTATATGGAGAACTAGGTACTAGTCCACTTGAAATAACAATAAAAACAAGAATAATATCATATTGGTCACAATTGACTCATTCTAAAGGAAACAAAATTAATATTATATTGTATAAATTTCTTTGCCATCAACATAATGTTGATGATAAACCGGTTCCATATATAAGTTTTATTAAACGTATTTTAAATGAATGTGGTATGAGTTACCTATGGAATGTCCAATATACTTCAGAATGTAATATCACATGGCTAAAGCATGTTATTAAACAAAGATTGTACGACCAGTATTTACAGAAATGGCAGAGTGATGTTCACACTTCATCAAAAGCTACATGTTATAGGATTTTTAAAAATAATTGTCATTTTGAAAATTACTTAGATATTTTAAGTGATAAGGATAGAGTTACATTTTGTAAATTTAAGACTACTAATCACAAATTCATTGTTGAAACCGGCAGATGGCATAATATAGAGTATAATGAAAGAAAATGTCCACACTGTAACAGTCAGCAAATTGGTGACGAATTCCATTACTTGCTTGAGTGTCCGTCACTATCTGGGTTTCGAATTTTATACATAGACAAATATTTTTGGACGAGACCAAATGTAATTAAGTTTAATGAATTGATGAATACTACTAATATAAAAACACTGAAGAAACTTTGTACTTTTATTAGAATAATTAATAACAGTATTTGACCTCCTCGATATAAATGTGTATATATTATAAAACAGTACTGTGTACTACCGACTACGAACACTACAATTACTATATATTATATTGTAAATATGTTTCTCTATACATTGTATTGTGAAAGAGAAT